ACTATTTCATGGCAAAATGGCTGCTGTAAGCAAGGTCCATATCTGGGTTCAGGGCGGTTAAGTTCCACTGTAGTTTTAACATAATGGTCCTATGTAAGCTTAATAGTGTCACTTCAGGTGGCCACAACTTTGTCCTGAAACTCAAACAAAAGGCTGAAGTTGAACAATGGGTGTCAGTCAGCAGGCGGACGGACAGAGGGATGCCCTGGTCCTGGGTCAGCTCTAGGTCGCTCGCGTCCCCTAAGCAACGGCCTGATTAACGCAAACACTGCGTTACTATGGAGGCCGAGACACAATCAGTTCATGACACTCACCGGGACTGACCCGGGACAGCAGAGCGCCCCGCAGACATGGAGGAGTCACCTGCTGAGGACAAACGATTGGACTTTATAGCGGACTACGTGCTGAGGACTCTGAAGCTGAAACAGGACAAATGGCAGAAGTGCGTGTCCAGCGAGGACAACAGGCAGGTGCTGCAGGAGTTCTTGGACAGAGCCGAGCAGAGGACGCTGGTGGTGTCTGTGACGGCGGCCGGACTGCTGCAGCCCGCCGCCGCCTTCACGGCCGGCGCCAAGAACAAGGCGGTGTACTTTGTGAAGCAGAGAAAAGCAGCGCTGAGTCCAGACTCCATGAAGGATAACTTGGTCTACGGGGACTTGTCTTACGCTCCACTGGATCAGTTTTCTGCTCTAGTTGAGGAGGTAAGCAGACCTATGGAAGCTTAATTCCGCCAATGTGACGGAAAAAAAACTTGATGTAAATTATTATTAGAATTATTATTAGAAACTTTCTTAAAATAATGACATTTCTCAAAATAATGAGAAAGTTTTTAACCTTTACTGTGCAACTTTATGTAGATATGGAAGCCCATTTCTGCCAATGTGCCAGAGGAAAAAAGTTTCTGTAAGTCATTCTAATGAGAAACTTTCTCAAAATATTGACTTAACATCTCAAGTTTTTTTTTCTTCTGTCTTTTTTGTGTGACATTGGCGGAAATGAGCTTCCATAAAGCAGCAGAGCAGAATGTGTTAATTATTGTTAGGTACAGGGAGGGCTGGCTCAACATGACCACATTCATTTCCCTCTCACACACTGTTCAGCTGCACACTGTAAGTGTGAAGCTTTAAAATGAGATAAATGACTTTGTCACTATCACAATTGTGGTTGAAATACAGTCACTCATGCACTGTTTTTAAGTAATGTAAGAACGTGTAACTTTACTTCAATTCAAAGGGGCTTTATTAGCATGGGAGAACAGAGGTTTACATTGCCAAACTAAGTATACAATTAATGTATATACAGATTAATAATAAATAAATATATTAGAAAAAAATAAAAATTGACTTGTAGTTAAAAAAACACAAATAAATGTTCCTTTATATTCATATATCAAACCTTTTACATTGTAGGAGGAAGTGCATGTCTGCATCAGCTTCACTTAGATAGTAGAACAGGGACCACATATTCAGTTTTCTTTTGGTTGCCACGAGTTTTTGTGTCTCGTTTTTTCAACTTCCAGTTTGTGGTCACTGAGCGTGTACTGTAGGATCTGTCTCTGCTCTCTATTTCTGACAGTACAGAGAGATTCTGCCAATTCATCTCTTTTTGGGATCAGATAACATTCTAATCTACTTTTTAGTTTCTTCTTTGCAGTGTTCCATAGTCCACTACATTTCTGTTAACTTCTGTTAACACCACATCCAGGGCCGGATTTAGCCCTGAGCGGTGTGGGGCAGAGATGAGCTGTGCCCCTTTTGACACCCCACCCACCCTGTTTTTCTCACTCTTAAGTTTCCAATTTACAAACAGTGCTAGTGGATTAAAGTGGTGAAATGTACATAAATGAGTAAATAAAGTAAACCAGGATGTAATGTGTAGTATAGTATACACAAGCACAATATTTACTAAACTAATAAAGGCTTTCAAACTAGATTTTAAAAAATGGCCCATTTTATGGAAAGATGGATTGCCCAACCATTTAGTGGTGCATAAGTAGGTCTATTAAGCAAATTAGCAAACAATTACATAATCACTAACTAATTACCACACAGTGGTTTGAGGCCTTTGGCCCCCCTGTGTGTCCCCGGTGGAATCCAGCTTGGCCGTATTTATCTAACAGTTTTGCACATATAAAGGTTTATTATGAGCTTATAAATTATGATACAATGTTATAAAAAGACTACTCAACAAGATATACAGTAGCCAGCTGCCACATTAAATAATCCAATTTTATAATATATAGTAATATAACACTGAGAATCTGCTGCATAATGGCTCATTTTACTACTTTCACTTAAGGAGAATATCTGAATGTCTTCCATCACAGTATGCACCAAGGTTTACTCCAAAGCAAACATTTTTTCCATGTAGAGAATTCCTGTTTCCTCATACTTCTCCAGGTTGTGGCCCCACTGCTGTCTAACAGTAGGAACCACACTGAGTGGCCACAGGTAGTGTCTCAGGATGTCAGACGCCACGTCCACTCCCTCAAGACCAATGTGTTTGTGGTGTCAGGCCAAGTCCAAGGCAAGACTCTGCTGCCTCTCCCTGCGGGCTCTGAGAGAGTAGAGCAAGCTGCCCTGGAGACAGACAAAAGGTAAACAAACACATGAGACATAAAGGTTCATGTCAGTACATCATTTGTCCCACGTCTGGATTCAAAAACGGTTTACTGGCGAAACTTCACAGGGGGGAAATAGTGGATAAAAGCATCATTCACTCCTTGGAGTCAGCAGTGATTGAGTGGAGCCATCAGATCCGCGCTGTCCTGAAGAAAGACTCCTCTGAGGCTCTGCTGGAAGGCAAAAACCCCACACCACACACAGAGCTGCTGTTCTGGAAGAACAGGTCAGCCCCTCTGTTATTACAGACACTGCATATCCACTGGCCACTGCTGAGAAGCTCTTGCTCTTGTGTCGTGATTGCGTTCAAATAACACGTCCCTACAGGACCTCAAAGTGGAATTGTTTTAGAAGTTTTTGCTGGTGCTATTAATTATTCCAGTTTTAGAACATTTGTGCTATGAAGTGAAAAATGTAATTTGGAGCCCAGTGCTCTTTTTAATTCTTTGTTTTACTTACGCAGCAGAATTGTATCTTATGAGGCCAATATCAACCACTTTCATCATTTGTTATTTCTCTGCACAAATGTGACAAAAAGCTTCTCTGTTTCATCTGTTTTGTACTTTGGCATAAGAAGGTATAAAGTGCATTCACTCCGGTTGCAAAAGCTTTTGATAATCCTAGCCTAGCTATAATGTAAGTGTATACTAAATGGAAGTTAACTCACATTTAATCAATATATTAAAACTGCTTGCACCACATATACTAGTTCATATATAGAGATTGATTGTAATTAAATCCATAGACCCAGTAACTTGGTGGGACTGTTGCATAGATAACTAAGCTATCAAAACAAATGTTAGCTTACAGCAAGCTAACATTATATGTTTAGATTGGAGAGTAAAAATAATAAATATAATATAATAAATGTCTTAGTTACCTGACACTTGATAAAAATCCTGTAGCCTAGTTATAACTTAATAAGTATACAAATCACAAAATGGGAGAAATAAAACATGTTGTTAGTGGTGCTGGTTGGTAGACGGGGGGTGAATCTCGCTGATTTTTACTAATACAATGGAGCAAATTGAGCAGAGCTCACTGTGGACAGCTTCATACGGACTGCTGGTGCAACCCAGTCCTGTGGTCTCCTACAAATGTGACCTTTTTGTTCTCCATGTTAATTCCTCCTTGAAGATGTGCAGATCTGGAGTGCATCCACTCCCAGTTAAATTCCTCTAAGGTGAATAAGATGGCGATGCTGTTGGAGGCTGTGGAGAGCAGCTATTTCCCTGCTTTTGCTAACATGCAACAGGACGTCCTGGCAGGTAATAACACAATCTACTCTATCTACCAGACAACATAGGGAAATTAAATGAGTCCTGCTTTCAAAGGTGTAGCGCATACATGTATTTTTTTTCACATATAGTATTTTGTGGTTGAACTGACTGTGATCTTTACTCATCAGCCTTGGAGGAAGCGAAGGACATCTGCACCTACTTGAGGCCCCTGCAGCGCCTGTTTGAGGACATGGAAAACGCAGAGTTTCCTGATGTCAGGGGTCAGATCGGACCTTTGATGCACACAGTGTGTCTGGTGTGGGCCAACTCCAGATACTATAACACCCCAGCACGCCTCATCGTTCTGCTGCAGGAGACCTGCAACCTCCTCATACAGCAGGTCAATTGCTGTCTTCTCTGTCAAGTGGCAATCCAATTTTTTTTATTTTTTTTTATTTTTTACTTCTATTTTTGTTGTAACAGTCTTTGTTTCTAAGTAGTCATTACTGTGGTGTGTCTGAACTGCACTTGTCAAAGATCACCTGTCAGTACAAGGAAATAGGAGTGGGTGGATGGTACTCTGGTTTTTTTTTCTTGGATTGTCAGTGAAAGAAGTTTTACTGTGGGTGGAACTCTTTTCTTTATTCCTCTCTGCTACGAAGGCTTTCACTGTTCATGCTATCAAATTCACTATTGTTCCTTTGTGTTTAGTTTTTTGGTAACAAACCTCTGTTTTTGCTACCAAAAATGTATAGTGTACCAGAAATCCTCTCCCAGGAAAGACCACCAGGGCTGGTATAACCCACTAGATGGACCTGAGACTAAATTAAGCTCTGGTCACGAGTTCATCTCACTCTCTGTGAAATGTGTATGTATTCTGTGGTGTTTAACTACCCACAGTGCACATGGCAGACTACACATGGCAGTCTCAAGCTATTTTACCCAAAGACCAACTGGTGATCCTATCTGGAATACCATCCTGTGTGTCTGTAGTATTTGCAATATGTTTTCCTGAAGGAATATTCACCATGTATAATAACTGAAATCACAAATGGGTCTCAAGATAAAATAAAAATGCAGTATAAATGCTTTCTTATTTGAGGCTAAAGCTACATGTCCCAGGGAAGAAATTGAACTTTTAGTTAGACCTTTAGCTGTCACTAAAGCACAAGCCGAGCTAACCCGTTTAATGCTCTCCAACACCAGGCCCGGGTGTATCTAGTTCCAGAAGAAGTTCTGAGAGGAGAGGTATCAGAGAGCCTCCTGAAGGTGCAGACGAGCCTGGAGATCCTGCAGCTCTTCAGGTCCACTTACGAGGACCGTAGGGCCAATCTGAACCAGTACCAGAGGAACGGGAGCTTGGTGAGGCCGTGGGACTTCTCTTCACAGTTGGTCTTCTCTGGACTCGACCAATTTATTAACAGAGTCAAGACCATTAAAGTGAGTATTGAAAAAACATTATTCATTACTTAAAATGTGCAGAATCATTGAGAAATGTCTCAATTTATGGTATGTTTATTAGTGCTGTGTATTGACAAGAATCTGGCAATACAGTACATATCACGATACAGGGGATTCATGATATTGTGATATATTGGGAATATAATATAAAGAACAAAACCACCATATACATAAAGATGGATTAAAAAAAAGTGTGCTTTTATTTCAGAATCCACACAGTATCACAGAAAAAATATTGCGATACTCCAGTGTATGGATATTTTCTTACACCCCTAATGTGGACTGAGATGTCAAACTGAAACTTGCCCCCATAAATTTAGTAAATTTAGCTTGATTTTCCTCCATTTCCCATTTGTTTTTCCATGTAGGACATACTGTTGACAGCTGTGGACTTGCTGAAGCTTGAGAAATTGGAGATTGGAGGCGTCCGAGGCCGAGCCCTAAGCCAGCAGGTCCAGCTGCTCCATCAAGAGTTCGTGGACACATACAAAGTCTTCACTGAGAAGCCGTATGACTGCTTGGACCTCAACAACAGGGTACGTAGTATTCGGATCACAGGGCGCATTAAGGGTTTGTTCACTTGCCTACTGGGAAAAAATGGGCTGTAATTTTGTAGCGCAACTTTGAAGGTCAGTTCATTCTCACAAGGCTTTTTATGAAACACGCGGCACACAGGCTACAAGCTCAGTGTAATTTCTACCCCTGAATACGTCTCAGTACATGCCCTCCTTTTTTCTGCATCTGGCAAACACCACCACAGCCGGGTCACTCCAGCGCTTGTGGAGCAAATTGTTTTTCTGCCCAAATAGACGTTTTTCAGTGCCATCTAGTTGCTTAACCGAGATGTTTCTGAGTTATAGCATGAAAAGCAATTTACTTTGCTTGTAAGGCCCAGTCAGTGCTCCCCGCTGGATGGCTTTGAGTCAGTGAGATGTGAAAAGGAATATGCTGTGCTGACTGCGCTAGCTCGCACTGCCATGTGGCATTTTGGCTGTCGTCTATTTGAGCTATCTGCCCTGCAGGAGTATGAAGAAGACGTGAGGGAGTTCAAACTGAAGGTGGACGACGCAGACCGACGACTAGGAGCAGTCTTCTGTCAGGCCTTTGAGGACGCCTCTGGACTGGAGCACGCCTTCAAGGTCTGAGAGCTTAATCTCTCTGTGTTTCTCACCCACACACACATATACATTCACACATTTTTCTTGAAAGCCTTTTCTCTTATCTGATGTCTGCAGGTTCTGGATATGTTTGGAAGCTTGCTGGAGCGCCCCTTAGTGGCCACAGATGCTCTGGACAGATACCCTCTCCTTGTCTCCATGTTTAACAAAGAGCTGGACTGCTGTAAACTCCTTTACAGCAAACACATCCAGACTGCAGAGGAGCTGGGTGAGCATCTTACACAATACTTTAATTTAGTCACTTCACAGCAGCACGTATGAGTGAGCAAGGATCCCATTACAGCGTAATGTGGAAACCAGATAGTTTGGTTTAGGCATAAATCAACCTTTAGATTGTTAAGATTAGGTATGAAGATGAAAATGGTAATGTTTGGGTTCAGATTAGAGATGACCGGGGTAAGCATATTTTATTACTTGCCGCGAGTGGAATCTTGCTATGCAGATAGTTTTGTTTTTTGTTTTGTCTCTGAGATTTCAGCCTAAAGGTGGCGGCTCTAAACACTAAAAATGACATTAAAAAATCAGCAGCAGCATGCCTTTGCAGAAACATTGTCCCCATTACTCTGAATAATCCACAAATACACAGTCAGCTGCTAAGGGCTGTGATCAAAATCAGTCCCATTTACCATACAGTGCACTATATTTACTGTCCTACACTTTATTGTTTGATTTACACTATAGGCTTCTGCATGGTGCCCTCAAAACTTTTTTTGCAATCTGCAACTTTGCAATGGAACAGACAAAAATCTTACTCTCAAAATCCCACAATGCAATGCTCATCATTTTATACATGATGCAAAATGAACATGAATGCTGAATCTCAATTTACTGCTCACTAAGTAAACTACTGAATGATTTATGACAGCCAGTGTTCGGGACCCCCACTAGGGGTTGCCAAAGCTTCACAGGGGGTCGCAAGGCCTTCTTGATTTTAAGGCAGTTCCTAAACACAGAATTTATCAAGTAAGTAGCCTATTAAGTCTGTATGATTGTTTAAAAATTATTAAAAGTAACATAATACAGACTTGTATAAAGTGTTCCCTAAACAGGAAATATCGTCGCGAGATTCATCCAAATCTCGTTTTACATAAACTTGTTGCAGTTACTGAGTTCACTGTTTGGGTTTATTGTGCAGTTTTAGAGATAATATGAAAAATAAAATATGTCACTATGTCAGTTTACTAAATGATAGAAAAGGGAACCACTGATTTGAGCACAGCCACAAACTTTTTACATTGTACTGAGGTTGAGGCAGAAATCTCAGAGATAAATATCTCAAAACTTGGGGCAATAAAATCCAAACTATCTTTTGTGTCTAGATAGCACTAGAGGTAATGTGTAGGTTTTTTTGTGATTTATGTGAACCAATCCTTTACATTTGACCCAAGGGTTTAAGGCCCCAAACATGACCCACAATGTTTGGGGTCCAGCTTGGGACCTTTTGTTGCGTGTCTTTCCCCATCTCTCTCTCAACTCATTTCCTGCCACGTCTCTACTTTGAACTCTCTAATAAAGGCCAAAGACTACCTGGAAAAAATACTCAAAAGTTTGAGTGAGAATGTGACTTTCATCTCAACAGCGAGATCCATAAGAACGCCTCAAGGAAACTTTGAAAGGGCACGCTGGTTGTTTTAGAGATTAAACTTGGGATGGTCTTCATTTTACAACTTCTTAATTAAAAAGAGAGATCAAGAGAAATCCTGGAAATTTAGCAGACATTAAGTCATTTATAACCCTTAAAGACCCTACACACGTATGTTGCTTCATTAGACCTCTCGTCAGGACTGTGTGGGTGGGTCCTTTTAGCTTTGTTGTGTCCGTTGGGGTGGGATAACTATCCCTGTTCATTTATTGGTACATGAGCTGTTCTGAAACACATAATTCCCAGCATAGCTCCACCCAACTTCAACCTGATCAGAGGTCTAATCAGCCAAAGGTATAGAAAACATCTGTGTGGCTGTGCGGACATTTAAGTCATCTATAACAATATAGATAACCTTCACACAGTATGTTGACTAGTCCAACATAGTGTGATGCTTTATTGCAGAGGCTACTATATGGCCAAGACGTGAATTGATCTACACATTAGTGACTCAGGCAATCTCTAGATGGTGCTTTTTGCTGTTAACTTTTGGTTTACTGTACTGTGAGGTCTTGAAAAGTCTAAAATCCAATATTGTGTATTTTAGGCCTTAAAGTGGCTTAAATAGGATTTTGAGACGTCTTAAAAATTGATTGTATAACAAAAGTTAACGTTTCTTGTATAAAGTTTCATATTTCAGTATTACTCTTTTGTAATTAAAATAACACAATAACAAAAGACAAAGTTTGATGTGAAGTAGCATGGGATCATGGGAGTTGCTGTCTTCCCCACCATTTCTGTCACTGCAGTCAGCTTCTGCCAGTTAGGATTCCTTCAGTGTTCGACTGGTGTAATGCAGCATTACTTAAATAAAATTACAGATTTGAACATTGTTGGAAACATTTGGGATTATGGAAGTGCACAACTGAACTACATATAGAACATAGCTGTAGAGTCTTGGAAATTTGTATTGATCATGCTGTAACAACTACAAAACGTAACTGACCTGGAACTAATACTTTATTTGCCAGTATGTCTTGCATTGCATTCATAGTGGTCTTAAAAAGTGTTAAATTTAACCTGTTGGAACCTGCAGGAACCATGCACAGGCCATTCTGTCACCATACCGTAGCAGAATTTGTTTTAAGAAATGCTGCATGTCATATTTATGGCATCTCGGTCAGAATGAGTTGGTACACTCCACTCTGTTACAGGTCCATTTTGTGAATTATGTGTGAACTACTAATATCTTCAGCCATATCTTTGTGGTAATTATCTGTGTAACAGTAAAGATTCCTGACCTCCTCAGGTTGGACTCCAGTGAATAAGAACATGCCAGCAGTAGCTGGTGGGTTGAGATGGGCCCAGGAGCTACAGCAGCGCATCCAGACCCCCTTCTCCAAATTCAGACACCTCTCCTACCCGTGAGTCTCCTCTCTTGTCTCCAACACGGCAGATTAAAAAATACATTTCGGCGGTCATGCATCTCCAGTGATCTCTGTGTGAATTAATCGCTCTGTGAGTTGTTTTAAAGGCCTCATAAAAATGATGTTTTGGAATATTGGCCACTGGAAAGATATTGGGTATGACCTTTGCAGGGGTTGTTAAATTTCATCTTCTCTGCAGGTGCCTGGAGTCTGCAGAAGGAGCCAGGGTCATTCAGAAGTATGAGGAGATGATGCAACTGCTGGACAGGTGTGTGCGTGTGTATCTTACCTCAGGGTATTGCACTGTATGTCATCATGCTTAGATGTATGTATTACTGAATAAAAGAACAGGAAGGAAGATTAAAGGGAATAGGCAGTGACAGAATAGGACGCCCTCTTATTGGACTGTAAATATCATAAAAGCCAACAACATGAATCAGATATCATCTCCGTCTCCGGCGTGATTTTTCCCTGTAATTTCACACAGACGCTGTTTTCAAACTGGACATAAGTGTTTTTGTTAGTTGAGTGTGTAACAGTTATGAAGCAGCCCCTGTGGAATAGCATGTAGACATGCAGCTCCGGGCATGATTTATGTTCTCATTACTGCGGTGCTGCTCTGCAGATTATTTCACAGGGCTCCCATAATCCCATATGCTCTGTCGCCGCTCACTGATGCCAAGTGAGAAATGGCCTTTTAGACCACATCCAACATCAAAACCTGCAAGATTAAGGATACCATTGGGGGGGAATGCTGTTTGAGTCAAAGAGAGAAAGAGAAACAGAGAGATTTTCTGTTTCTATACTTTTGAAGAAATGTCCTCCCACAAAGACAAAGAAAAGTCTCACAGCATCAAAATGCCTTATCTTTTCATTTTGCCACAAGGGCACCTCTAGGTTAACTTAATTTTGGAGGTCATGTAAACATCATGAATAAAATAAATGGAGTTTTTTTTTAATCATCACTACAGGTGTTTTGTTGTGGTTTACTGTGCTCAGGAGAGCCAGTCTCACCCAGTTCTTTTTGCATCTATAAAATGTAATGCATTGTGGGATTTTACATAACTTACTTTAAATGCCACTAACTGACTCACTACTTTTTACTTTTCATTGTGGGAATATTGTATTGCAGTATATAATGCATACATTCATTCACAGAGCTCAGCTCAGTCAATATTTGATATAAACATATTGTTTGGGGTGCCCTGGTAGCTCACCTTCTAGAGCCCCATGTACCAAGGCTTTCTGCAGGAGCCATGGATTTGACTCCAACCTGTGGCCCTTTGCTGCATCTCACGCTCTCCCTTCCCTGTCCTGTCTAATAAAGGGCAAAATAAATAAATAAATTTAAATTAGACCATCGTTGTTGCCACTGTGTGTATGTGTGTGTGTGTCATGGCAAACTGTGGTCTTCGAGACACCTACTGTAGTAGGGACTACCAGAGAAGCGGAGTGCTTTGCCAGGTGTTTTTATGTTTATTAATTAATTAATGTTTGTTATGATTTTGTCAACGCGATAGTGTCACAACCATGCAAGATGCGACAGAAACTAGCGAGATCTAGCACAGACACGGTGTTAGTACTTTGTTGTGCCACAGCTGCCCCAGTACTTGATTAGTAATCATCATGTTCATCCCATCGCTAGATGGTCTCTAGTTTATAATTCAGAGTGGCTCTCAAGCACATTTAAGAAAGGACAATAGTCAATCAATTAGTCGAGCAATGGACAATTAATCAGCAACAATTTTGACAGATTCATTGTCGATCAAAGCCAGATGGTTTGTTTTTGTATTCAAATATGAAGACTTGTTCTCTGTTTTCTATGATAACTGAATGGGCTTTGGACAGACAAAACAAGCAATCTGAATGTCAATGTGCATTTGAGGAAATTGTGGTTGGCATTATATCGGGCATGATGTTTTATGTACCAAACAACTGATCTATTATTTGTTTGAGAGAATAGTTTAATCAGTAATGACAATTATCATTTACTGCAGCCCTTTTTAGAGCTTAGATTAACATTTGTGTTAGAGCACAATCATTATCAAAACTGGGTATGCATTGCAGAAGGTGAAAGATTAGGTTGTCAGTATACTCAGTGTCCTTACTAGTGTGGTAAAAAAAAATGC